AACAGTCCTGTAACTTTATGAAAAAAAAACATATTAAAGTATTTTTAAATGAATGCCCGTTAGTTTCTAAATTTTAGTCAGGGTCCAACAAGATTTTCTGTCGATGGTAGGATGGACTAATTGGATATAGCTCAAAATCTTGAAGGTGCACATATATATGTTTTGATTATTATACATGTGTACTAAGTTGGTTTTCTTTAAGCGGTACCATTGTTTCTGATATAATTTTGTTAAATGTATATAAGCATATACATGTAGGCTTACTCATATCACGAAGTATGACAAAATCAAGGATCGAGATTGTACCAGTATATAAAGAAAAAGTATATAGAAAAAATAAAGACAATTGAACAGCAGATGAACCAAAAAGACAAGAGAATGTCAATTCACACTTGTCTATGTCAGAAACACTCACATTAATCTAGCTGCTACACATTCTAATAGATGAGTGTCTTTATTCAAATGTCCTTGTTAAGTTCAATCTGTTTCTTAAAGTCACAATGTTATTTGACTTTTTAAAGCTACACATAAAACAATAAAACCTTAAAAGAAACTTTAAATGATATAGTGTGTTCTGTTTAATATTAAAGGATTGGTTCAGACATATTATTTATTGGTCAGTTGTTTAAAAAACTTTATGGATATCTATCTATGTGTTCAGGGTTTTTCATTATTTTGTACATAGAAGAACTGTGAAACAGATACGTTACTATGATTTAATATTTGTTTCCACTGAGCGGAATAAATTTATACTGTTAAGAAAATCCGAGCTACATTGTGTCAATAGATAAGTATGGAACATCAGTATTTTTATTGACCTTAAATGCTTTTTATAAGTAACTCATGTATTTGGAATAAACAAGTCTGATTAATAAGTAAACATTTTCATCAGCTTAAGTTCACAAGCTATTCTTAGACGTAGATTTTTTTTAAAACGCATATTAATGCATAATATTTTGTAATATATACTGGTGCTATAATGCTGAAATGAATGATAATAAATTTCTAAATCGTGTATATTCATGCTAATTATTTCTATCTAGTCTCTGAAAGCAATTGGAAAAATGGTAACGTATCTGTTTTTTGCACAAATTTCGAATTCTTGGTAACTTAATTTCAGGAAATATTACAAGTTTTTTGGTGAAATGTTAAAAGAACCAGTATGTGTTCAATGTTGTACATGAGTTGTACCAACTAAAAAAGGTGTCTGGGTAACTATGCGCAAATGTCAATTATTCACTATTACTTACAGCCTAATTTGAATGTTTAGTGGAGAATCAATGTTATGTGTTTTTCGAAAAAAAGTCAGATTTTATTTCATTGAAATATTTATCATGAAGCGTTACAGATTAAGATTTTCATTACAGCAAAGCAATGATATAAAAAGCCTTAATTCTCTGGCCAAAACCGTTAGCTGTCTTCAGCCAAACAGCAAGGCCAATATGAGCTTAATCAATTATTTGTATTCTTATTATATGATAGTTACTGAGGATCTTTCATAGAAAAAAGCGTATTTGCGAGTAAAATATCACTTGCCACAATGTCAAAGCGTAAATAGTGTTTGACAAATCGTAAAATGTACTAAATCTTGTGTACTTATTTTAACTTTGACAATGCTTACTGTGTGAATTTGCGTTTATTTATACTCGCCACCGGTTGCCCATATGGGCGAGTCCTCCAGAAGAGTACAAGTCATTTTAGTTTTGGAGGATAGTGCAATTACAGATATAGAAAGATGCCCTGATTCCAGAAGCTTCCCCTTCTTTAACGTGCCAAGTTGTTAAATTCGCGTTATAACGCCTTTGTTCGCGTTATTACGCCTTTTGATTCGGGTTGCTACGCCTTTTTTCGCGTTATTACGCCTTTTGATTTGCGTAATTACGCCTTTTGATTCGCGTTATAACGCCTTTATTCGCGTTATTACGCCTTTTGATTCGCGTTATAACGCCTTTATTCGCGTTAAAACGCCTTTGTATTTTTATTTTTTATTTCATTTGACACTATTAGGCTTTCGTAAGGGAGAATATGAGATAATAATTTAATGTCATAAACGTGTTCGTGTTCATGTAAATCATGAAATAGAGTAACCATTCACAAACGTGTCCTTGTTTCGATCAAAACGAGAATATACATGTAATTAGAAAATGTCACAAACGTAACCATATTGCAATACAAACGAGGCCACGTAAAGGAAACGTGACAAACGTAACTATGAAAACGAGGCTACAGTAAAGAAACGTCACAAACGAATCCATGTAATAGTGAAAACGTGCTTTACAGGGAGAAAACGTCATAAACGTTACCATGTTACGATGAGAACGAGGCTACAGAAGGTAAACGTCACAAACGTAACCATAACGAGGCTACAGTAAAGAAACGTCACAAACGTAACCATGTAACAATGAAAACGAGGCTACAGTAAAGAAACGTCACAAACGTAACCATGTAACAATGAAAACGAGGCTACAGTAAAGAAACGTCACAAACGTAACCATGTAACAATGAAAACGAGGCTACAGTAAAGAAACGTCATAAACGTATCCATGATATAGTGAAAACAAACGAGGTTTACAGGAAGAAAACATCATAAACGTTACCATGTTACGATGAGAACGAGGCTACAGTAACCATAACGAGGCTACAGTAAAGAAACGTCACAAACGTAACCATGTAACAATGAAAACGAGGCTACAGTAAAGAAACGTCACAAACGTAACCATGTAACAATGAAAACGAGGCTACAGTAAAGAAACGTCACAAACGTAACCATGTAACAATGAAAACGAGGCTACAATAAAGAAACGTCACAAACGTAACCATGTAACAATGAAAACGAGGCTACAATAAAGAAACGTCACAAACGTAACCATGTAACAATGAAAACGAGGCTACAGTAAAGAAATGTCATAAAACGTAACCATGTAACAATGGAAACGAGGCTACAGTAACAAACGTCACAAACGTAACCATGTAACAATGAAAAAGAGGCTACAGTAAGGAAACGTCACAAACGTATCCGCGTTACAGTGAAAACGAGGCAACAGTAAGGAAACGTCACAAACGTATCCGCGTTACAGGGAAAACGAGGCTACAGTAAGGAAACGTCACAAACATATCCGCGTTACAGTGAAAACGAAGCAACAGTAAGGAAACGTCACAAACGTATCCGCGTTACAGTGAAAACGAAGCAACAGTAAGGAAACGTCACAGACGTATCCGCGTTACAGTGAAAACGAGGCTACAGTAAGGAAACGTCACAAACGTATCCGCGTTACAGTGAAAACAAGGCAACAGTAAGGAAACGTCACAAACATATCCGCGTTACAGTGTAAACAAGGCAACAGTAAGGAAACGTATTCGCGTTACAGTTAAACGCAGGAAAAGAGACTATAGTAACCCTATTATAATGAAAACGAGGCTACAATAAGGAAATGTGACACTGAAAACCAGGCTGCAATAAGGAAAACTTTACAAAGTATTTCATGTAATGGTAAAACAAGGCAAATGTATCATTATAACAATGAAAATGATACTTCATTATGAAAACGCCACAAACGAAACCATGTTGAAGTAAAAATGAAGCTACAATATCAAACCATTACAAAAGTATCCATGTAACGGAGAAAAAACGAGGCTTAAACAAAGCGCAGTATAATATGAGAAATTGGACACAGTACTTCGGATATCAAAATATTGTTGTATCCCCTGTCGTATAACGGAGAGAGAACACACTGATGTTTCACATTTTATTACTCAATACATAAGTATATATCTGCTCTGGACAAATACCAAATTCGAATTACCTAGACTGGGCTATTCGACCACTATTTATAATGACAGCTTTTAACATAAAATGTTAAGATATAGTTCCCCCTTAGCATTAACAAGCGGTTTGCTCAGTTATGTCAAATAACCTGGTCCGTTGTTGAGAACCAAATCCATCCCTTTAATCAAAAACTGTTTCTATGGCCACACAAGGTTTTTGCCATAGACCGCGAAATACAACTTTTGTTTGGTTAATAGGATATGTTTTCATGTGTAAATGGTATAAACTTTAAATGTTTTAACACTTACTTTTTGTGTCAGTTCCATCTGTTACTTTCCTACCAAGTGCGACATTTAGCGTCAAGGGGTTGCGACATTTAGCGGCAATCAATTTTTGTGCGACATATAGCGGCAACGTTGCGACATTTAGCGGCAGGCGATTGCGACATATAGCGTTGATTACGACATATAGCGTCAGCGTTGCGACATTTAGCGTTAGTTGCGACATATCGCGGCGTTGCGACATATAGCGTTGCTACAGACGTTACAAAAGTGCAGTACATGTATTTGTATTATAAATTATGGTGGCTGATTTGGTACGATTTAGTGCGTCTAGTTGGCACTACCGACAACACGACAAAGCGCCAAACGACGCGTTGTCGAACTTTCGTCTTGTCGTCAGCGACAACACGTCAAAGTGCAAAACGGCGCGTTGTCACACTGTCGTCTTGTCTCTAGCGAAGCACGCCAAACGGCGCGTTGGCGTGCGGCGCGTTGTCATGATGCGCCCTGTCGCTTGGCTTATAACCCAATCCTTCGATTTGAATCGAGCGACAATGTGACATCGCGACAAAACGCCACACGACAACGCGCCATTTGGCGTGCATTGTTAGCGACAGGAAGGCAAGACGAAAGTCCGACAACGCGCCGTTTGGCGCTTTGTCGTGTTGTCGCTAGCGCCAACCAGACGCACAAAAGCGTATCAAATCAGCCACCATAATAAAAATATACTATAAACAAGTACTGTATACAACACAAATGCCCAATGAAAACGGACCTTACAAATATGTATAAAGTTTTATAAATAATTCTCATGCCACATGTTTAAGTACACTGTAGAAACTACACTGTAAGAGTTGTAACTATGACACACTATGTTATTTTATTTTCTCTTTATATCATATTTTTTTTTGTATGTGTGCATGTGCAACACAATATGTGTATAAAGGGTTTACCTTTTTGATTTCATAAGGCAGCAATGCAAAATATTCTCCAGGCGATATAGTATAACTGGAAGTTTCCAACTCTTTCTAGTAGGAAAAAATAAAATAAAACAAAACAATATAATCAATCTCAGACATTTTGCGCAAAAAAGCACCTTTGCCGACATTGTCTACACAACCGTCTCTAGTACTGTAAAATACAGAATGACTAATTCCATCATTATAAAGAGACCAGCTTCATAATATTTCTGGGATGCAATTCACATTAAATTTTAGATTCTGTTCATCACATAGTACCGCTTATTATATCATATTGAAAATATCTAAGTAAAATCTACAACGCCAAAATGGCTTAATTGCCGTTACAAATGTGGAGTAAACCATCATAATATTTGGCAACTTACTTATGTTGAGTTATCCATAATAATATGGATAATAATACTAAAAATGAAGTGCTACCAATAATAATACTGGGCAACTTAAAAAAAAACGTGGAGTTATCAATAATAATACTGGGCAACGTCAAATGTGGAGTTATCCATAATAATATGGGGCTATTACAAATTTGGAATGTTCATAATAATTCGGACTATTTACAAATGTGGAGTTATCCATAATAAAACTGGCTACACGTACTTGCAAAGTGGAGTTATCCATAATGATATTGGGCAACTTACAAATGTGGAGTTATCGATTATTATATTTGGCCACTTATTAACGTAGAATTATCCATAATAAAACTGGCTTCATGTACTTACAAAGTGGAGTTATCCATAATAATATGGGGCAACTTACACATTTGGAATTATCCATAATAATATTGGCTACTTACAAAATTTAATGTTGAGTTACAATGTATCCATATTAATATGACGTTACTTACAAATATGGAGTTATCAATAACAATATTAAGCAATTAACAAATGTTTAATTATCCATCATAATATGGGGTTACTTACAAATGTGGAGTTATCCATAATAATATGGGACTACTTACAAATGTGGAGTTATCCATAATAATATGGGGTTACTCACAAATATGGAGTTATCAATAACAATATTAAGCACTTTACAAATCTTTAATTATCCATAATAATATGGGGCTACTTACAAATATAGAGTTATCCATAATAATATGGGGCTACTTACAATTGTGGAGTTATCAATAATAATATGGGGTTACTTACAAATGTGGAGTTATCCATAATAATATTGGAGGAGTTAGTTGAGCAATTATATCGTAAAACAGCACCATCATCATTCTTGTAATAAAAGGCGTCAACATCTGTAATTTATGAATATTCATTCATGATAATTAATATTCATTAATACATGGTAGCTATTTAGCTAAAATTAATAATACGATGGTAATTAATTAAAATTTACATATCAGTGGCAATAAATGAATATTTATTTTCATTTATCTATGGAAATAATTGATTTTTTTTTAATTTATGTATATTATTCAAATATGAATGTATTGCTGTCCATAGTATTTAATTAATATTCATTAATGTACAGTCATAAATTAATATTCATTAATCCATGAAAATTAATTAATGTTCATTTTTACTGTAAACGACTGAAGCTGATTTATGTATAAGAAATATAGATCAAGTATACTTTATGAATAGCATTTCAATATAGCATATTCATTTTTTTATTTTCATGATATGGAAATAAATATTTCATGAGTGGCCGTTGGCACGAGTAAAATATGATAATTTTCATACCACAAGATGAAAATAAATCCTGTATTTATAGCAAAAGTTTGATTTTTTCTGTTTATTATATACCGGTATTTTTTACTTTTTTGATCTAAGAATTTGAAAGATGATCATAGAATTTGAAAGATGATCTTAGAATTTGAAAGTTGATCTTAGAATTTGAAAGTTGATCTTAGAATTTGAAAGTTGATCTTAGAATTTGAAAGTTGATCTTAGAATTTGAAAGTTGATCTTAGAATTTGAAAGTTGATCTAAGAATTTGAAAGTTGATCTTAAAATTTGAAAGTTGATCTTAGAATTTGAAAGTTGATCTTAGAATTTGAAAGTTGATCTTAGAATTTGAAAGTTGATCTTAGAATTTGAAAGTTGATCTTAAAATTTGAAAGTTGATCTTAGAATTTGAAAGTTGATCTTAGAATTTGAAAGTTGATCTTAGAATTTGAAAGTTGATCTTAGAATTTGAAAGTTGATCTTAGAATTTGAAAGTTGATCTTAGAATTTGAAAGTTGATCTTAGAATTTGAAAGTTGATCTTAGAATTTGAAAGTTGATCTTAGAATTTGAAAGTTGATCTTAGAATTTGAAAGTTGATCTTAGAAGTTGATCTTAGAATTTGAAAGTTGATCTTAGAATTTGAAAGTTGATCTTAGAATTTGAAAGTTGATCTTAGAATTTGAAAGTTGATCTTAGAATTTGAAAGTTGATCTTAGAATTTGAAAGTTGATCTTAGAATTTGAAAGATGATCTTAGAATTTGAAAGTTGATCTTAGAATTTGAAAGTTGATCTTAGAATTTGAAAGTTGATCTTAGAATTTGAAAGATGATCTTAGAATTTGAAAGTTTGATCTTAGAATTTGAAAGTTGATCTTAGAATTTGAAAGTTGATCTTAGAATTTGAAAGTTGATCTTAGAATTTGAAAGTTGATCTTAGAATTTGAAAAGTTGATCTTAGAATTTGAAAGTTGATCTTAGAATTTGAAAGTTGATCTTAGAATTTGAAAGTTGATCTTAGAATTTGAAAGTTGATCTTAGAATTTGAAAGTTGATCTTAGAATTTGAAAGTTGATCTTAGAATTTTAAAGTTGATCTAAGAATTTGAAAGTTGATCTTAAAATTTGAAAGTTGATCTTAGAATTTGAAAGTTGATCTTAGAATTTGAAAGTTGATCTTAGAATTTGAAAGTTGATCTTAGAATTTGAAAGTTGATCTTAAATTTGAAAGTTGATCTTAGAATTTGAAAGTTGATCTTAGAATTTGAAAGTTGATCTTAGAATTTGAAAGTTGATCTTAGAATTTGAAAGTTGATCTTAGAATTTGAAAGTTGATCTTAGAATTTGAAAGTTGATCTTAGAATTTGAAAGTTGATCTTAGAATTTGAAAGTTGATCTTAGAATTTGAAAGTTGATCTTAGAATTTGAAAGTTGATCTTAGAATTTGAAAGATGATCTTAGAATTTGAAAGTTGATCTTAGAATTTGAAAGTTGATCTTAGAATTTGAAAGTTGATCTTAGAATTTGAAAGTTGATCTTAGAATTTGAAAGTTGATCTTAGAATTTGAAAGTTGATCTTAGAATTTGAAAGTTGATCTTAGAATTTGAAAGTTGATCTTAGAATTTGAAAGTTGATCTTAGAATTTGAAAGTTGATCTTAGAATTTGAAAGATGATCTTAGAATTTGAAAGTTGATCTTAGAATTTGAAAGTTGATCTTAGAATTTGAAAGTTGATCTTAGAATTTGAAAGATGATCTTAGAATTTGAAAGTTGATCTTAGAATTTGAAAGTTGATCTTAGAATTTGAAAGTTGATCTTAGAATTTGAAAGTTGATCTTAGAATTTGAAAGTTGATCTTAGAAAGTTGATCTAGAAAGTTGATCTTAGAATTTGAAAGTTGATCTTAGAATTTGAAAGTTGATCTTAGAATTTGAAAGTTGATCTTAGAATTTGAAAGTTGATCTTAGAATTTGAAAGTTGATCTTAGAATTTGAAAGTTGATCTTAGAATTTGAAAGTTGATCTTAGAATTTGAAAGTTGATCTTAGAATTTGAAAGTTGATCTTAGAATTTGAAAGTTGATCTTAGAATTTGAAAGTTGATCTTAGAATTTGAAAGTTGATCTTAGAATTTGAAAGTTGATCTTAGAATTTGAAAGTTGATCTTAGAATTTGAAAGTTGATCTTAAAATTTGAAAGTTGATCTTAGAATTTGAAAGTTGATCTTAGAATTTGAAAGTTGATCTTAGAATTTGAAAGACTTCCTCTTAGTGAATTTACTGAATGTAGAAGAAAGAAGTCCTACAAGACACCAGCGAAAATACGGAAAATATGTTTACTGTTGTAAAATATTTTTTGCAGCAAAATATATGGAAGACGAAAATACGCATTTTATTTCAATATTTCTCAAATTTTATTAAAAAGTATATATTAAATGAGCCGTGACATGACAAAACCAACATAATGGGTTTGCGACCAGCATGGATCCAGACCAGCCTGCGCATCCGCGCAGTCTGATCAGGATCCATGCTGTTCGCTATCAGTTTCTCTACTTGTAATAGAGTTGGTAAGCAAACAGCATGGATCCTGATCAGACTGCGCGGATACGCAGGCTGGTCTGGATCCATGTTGGTCGCAAACGCACTATGTTGGTTTTGTCATGGCGCAGCTCAAATACCTTTTATCCAAGTATAATAGAAGGATCTAGGGGAGTATTTTCTACTCATGAAGTCTTCAAATGTAAACTTTGCTTTCGTGCTTTCATCATCTTCACCTGAAACAGAATGGTAAATTTCACATAAAAAGTAGTCCGTAATAACGCTATTCAAAATTCGCAATTCATGCGCATTTTCGTTGTTTTTAGTTTATTCTTTATTCATTTTAACTGTAATTATTCAACGCTTATCGATGTGAGTTATGCCAAAAACTGCTGATAAACATAAAAACATCTTTGAACAAGCTTCCAGAAAATAGAGATATAAATGTTGAAGTTTTTATCAATACTTAAATGCCAATAGTAATAATAGTAATAGTAATAATAATGATAATAATAATAATAATAATAATAGTAATAATAATAATAATAGTAATAATAATAATAATAATAATAATAATAATAATAATAATTATAATAATAATAATAATAATAATGATAATAATAAATATAATAATAATAATAATAATAATAATAATAATAATAATAATAATAATAATAATTATAATAATACATTGTAATATTTATAATAATAATTATTAATATAAAAATTATATAAATATAAATTAATAATGATGATGATAGTCATGATAATAATAATGATAATCGATTAAACATAATAATGTATTAAACACGTTGTAACCGTTTATTTAACTGCTTCAAATATGAGTTGTGAACATAGTTGTGAACGAAATAGTGAACTGGGTCACAGGCATTAATGAAATTGTGAAGTGTTAAATGTACTAATATACTAATAACATTATCACAACAGAAAATCACTTACTTCAAGTTTACTGCCTACAAATAAATATTATAAACAGATAAAGAGCCCCTGTTCCAGAGAAAGAGAAGAGGAGAGGTGGCCTTATGGTTAAGATCTCTGCCACTCAACACAGGGATCATGGGATTGAGCCCTAATCGGGGTTCTTAATATGACACCAGCACTGGTTGGTTCCAGGAAGCGGACTCGAGAGTGATTAATATAAGTTGCAAAAACATGTTTCGCAATCGAGCTTAAATAAATATGTTTATACCAAACACGTCAATGTAGTGGTGGTAATTGATAAACTAGGTTTTTGTTTTCTGCTGAGAACCTTATATTATGTAAATGAAAAAGTTTAATACTTTTTTTTAAGTTTGAGTAGGTCCAATAAGCTGTAAAAATGCTATATTCTTTATTATTCAAAAGATTATTTTCCGTGCCCTATAATTTTTCCAAAACATTATTCATTCGCCAAAGAGCTTAAGCACTTTTTGCTTCTTTTGCCTAGGAAATTAGTACATTAACGGCAATCCATTAGCCACAAGGAGCGAAGGAGGAAATAAAAAGTAAAAGTATATTCTCAATTGTAAAGGATTATACCTATAGTTATATCAACATTAAGTAAATAAATGTGTGACACAGATAGTTGTAAAACCAAGCAGATATCTTTTAAGTATGTTTAAAGATGAATATAAACGAAAAACGGATTTAACCATATCATATCCAGAATCGGGTTTTCAAGTTACACCGCCATTTCGTGATTTCCCAACTTTACTGGTTGAATAATTGTAATCGTAAAATGGAGTAGAAAACAATTTAAGAATAAACAATAATGATAAAATAAAACAGTATAAACTTATTATGATAATACTAAATTAGTAGACTGACCTTAGTATTAATGATACATTTAACACGGAGTAGACCTACAATGACGATATTAATTTATTTAACACGGATTAGACTTAGGAGATAGAAGTATGATAAAATTAATAAAAAAGTAACACGGAGAAAACCTACTAAGAGATATAATGACAATAAGATTTTTAAAAAAACTAAGTAAAACACGGAGTAGACCTGCCAGGAGATATAAATTTGATAAATTTAATGAAACTAACACGGAGTTGACCTACTACAATAAAATTAATAAAAACTACACCGAATGAGACCTACTATAATGATAAAATTAATAAAAGTAACACGGAGTAGACCTACCTGGAGATATAAGTAGAATTGTAGCGACTATAAGAGCACAAACAACAATTATCACAACCAATGCTATCACAATGCCTTTCCAGTTCCTCTGAGTCACTGTATGGCCGACAAGCTCCTGAAAAATACAATGTTTCAATTAGTTGTCATTGTAGCAACGCTATATGTCGCAACGCCGCTATATGTCGCAACTAACGCTAAATGTCGCAACGCTGACGCTATATGTCGCAATCAACGCTATATGTCGCAATCGCCTACCGCTAAATGTCGCAACGTTGCCGCTATATGTCGCACAAAAATTGATTGCCGCTAAATGTCGCAACCCCTTGACGCTAAATGTCGCACTTGGTAGGAAAGTAACAGATGGAACTGACACAAAAAGTAAGTGTTAAAACATTTAAAGTTTATAACATTTACACATGAAAACATATCCTAGTAACCAAACAAAAGTTGTATTTCGCGGTCTATGGCAAAAACCTTGTATGGCCATAGAAACAGTTTTTGATTAAAGGGATGGATTTGGTTCTCAAGCACGGACCAGGTGTGAGATCAAACTTTCTCGTTGAGGATGTCTTTCTCACAAAATGCATCAACAAAAACATTTGGATATACATGTATATTTGTTATGTTATTTGACATAACTGAGCAAACCGCTTGTTATTGCTAAGGGGGAACTATATCTTAACATTTTATGTTAATAGCTGTCATTATAAATAGTGGTCGAATAGCCCAGTCTAGGTAATTCGAATTTGGTATTTGTCCAGAGCAGATATATACTTATGTATTGAGTAATAAAATGTGAAACATCAGTGTGTTCTCTCTCCGTTATACGACAGGGGATACAACAATATTTTGATATCCAAAGTAGCCTACTGTGTCCAATTTCTCATATTATACTGCGCTTTGTTTAAGCCTCGTTTTTTCTCCGTTACATGGATACTTTTGTTTGATATTGTAGCTTCATTTTTACTTCAACATGGTTTCGTTTGTGGCGTTTTCATAATGAAGTATCATTTTCATTTTTATAATGATACATTTGCCTTGTTTTACCATTACATGAAATACTTTTGTAAAGTTTTCCTTATTGCAGCCTGGTTTTCAGTGTCACATTTCCTTATTGTAGCCTCGTTTTCATTATAATAGGGTTACTATAGTCTCTTTTCCTGCTTTTAACTGTAACGCGAATACGTTTGTAACGTTTCCTTACTGTTGCCTTGTTTACACTGTAACGCGGATATGTTTGTGACGTTTCCTTACTGTTGCCTTGTTTACACTGTAACGCGGATATGTTTGTGTCGTTTCCTTACTGTTGCCTTGTTTTCACTGTAACGCGGATACGTTTGTGACGTTTCCTTACTGTAGCCTCGTTTTCCCTGTAACGCGGATACGTTTGTGACGTTTCCTTACTGTTGCTTCGTTTTCACTGTAACGCGGATACGTTTGTGACGTTTCCTTACTGTAGCCTCGTTTTCCCTGTAACGCGGATACGTTTGTGACGTTTCCTTACTGTTGCCTTGTTTTCACTGTAACGCGGATACGTTTTTGACGTTTCCTTACTGTAGCCTCTTTTTCATTGTTACATGGTTACGTTTGTGACGTTTGTTACTGTAGCCTCGTTTCCATTGTTACATGGTTACGTTTTATGACATTTCTTTACTGTAGCCTCGTTTTCATTGTTACATGGTTACGTTTGTGACGTTTCTTTATTGTAGCCTCGTTTTCATTGTTACATGGTTACGTTTGTGACGTTTCTTTACTGTAGCCTCGTTTTCATTGTTACATGGTTACGTTTGTGACGTTTCTTTACTGTAGCCTCGTTTTCATTGTTACATGGTTACGTTTGTGACGTTTCTTTACTGTAGCCTCGTTATGGTTACGTTTGTGACGGTTACCTTCTGTAGCCTTGTTCTCATCGTAACATGGTAACGTTTATGACGTTTTCTCCCTGTAAAGCACGTTTTCACTATTACATGGATTCGTTTGTGGCGTTTCTTTACTGTTGCCTCGTTTTCATTGTTACGTTTGTCACGTTTCCTTTAAGTGGCCTAGTTTGTATTGCAATATGGTTACGTTTGTGACATTTTCTAATTACATGTATATTCTCGTTTTGATCGAAACAAGGACACGTTTGTGAATGGTTACTCTATTTCCTGATTTACATGAACACGAACACGTTTATGACATTAAATTATTATCTCATTATTCTCCCTTATATGTTTTATCCTCTTTTTCCTCGTAACACTGATACATTTGTTAACTTAATGTATCGTAGTCTTATTTTAACTTCACCATGGTTTCATTTTTGATGTTTCTAAATTATTTCGAAGCAGAGTTGTTCGTTCCTCACATATATCACATCTGCAATATGCTGAATGACAAGAATCTTGTCAAAACGTAACAATTTTTTAACACTTTTACTTTAAATATAAGACCATAGATAAAATGCACAAATAGAAGCACGTTGTAAAGATATGATAAATTTTATCATCATTTTTATTGGAACTTTTGTCATGTCCAAGTATGCAGATGATGTCATCACGCAGATGCAAACAAAACACTTGAAAGTGATTTTAATATAATTTTAATATGTGGTAGAAACATTCCTGTCTGGACCTCTGTCAGTTTGGAGGCAGTTGCCTTATTCTGGCGACATAAATCGCAAAATTATTCATTTCCAAAATGTTAACATACGAGTATGTCAGTGCGGTTTTGGGACTACTTTCTGAGCCAACTATACTAAAGCGAATGGAATAGATTATATTTTTCTTATAAGTTTCGTTTTCATCGTTACATAGATGTTTGTTACGCGTTTTGTTAAAGTCTAATAGATTCCAGTACATTTGTTACGTTTTGTCATTGTAGTCTCGTTTGCATTGTAACATGCCGTTTGTGAAGTTTTCTTGTTGTTTTCTTGTTATTATCGTAACATAGTTACGTTTGTAACATCGTCTTCCCGTAGTTTCATTTTCAATGTTACATATATACGTTTGTGACGTTTTCTTATTGTAGCCTCGTTTTTATTGTAATTGAAACATGCTCACGTTTTTGACGTTTTGATATTGTAGCCTCGTTTTAAAACTGACATGGTTACGTTTGTGACGTTTTCTTATTGTTGCCTCGTTTTCGTCGTCACACGGTTGCGTTTGGAACGTTTTTTTCTTAAGCCTCATCTTCACAGTTTCATAGATACGTTTGTGACGTTTTCTTACTGTCGCCTCGTTTTCAGCTCTAAGTTTGCGTAGCATCGCTTTCATCGAAACAGGGTTTGTTTAAGTCACGTTTTCATCAGAAAACGAATGCGTTTATGAATGGTAATATTTTGTTCACATTTACATGTATTAAGTTGTTGTCTTATTATCACCCTTTGATGATTTATCTAACGACAAATTGGATGTATAATTCAATCGATATTTGAATTATTCTTAATTTGTCACACACAAGAAAAAATGAACATTCGGTTCATGCTTATTGAATTATCATTATTTATATACATCTAGATATCTACTACATACGATTTTATGTCTGGTTGCTTTTGAACATATTATGACATAATTCATGGAGGATATTCAAGTGTTTTCTATAAATACAGGATTTATTTTCATCTAGTGGCAAGACAATAATTATTTTATGAGTGGCGGTAGCCATGAATGAAATATGATAATTTCCATACCACAAGTTGATAATAAATACTGTATTTATAGAAAAAAACTTGAATTGTCTGTTTATCATATAAATTTCTCTTCTTTTTTTTGACATCACAATTTGAAAGAATACTCCTTAAATTATGTGTATTGTCTGAATTTAGAAGAAAGTAGTCCGGCAAGACAGCAGTGAAAATACGGAAAATATATTTCACTACAGTGAAAAATAGCTTTTTACAGTGAAAATACTAAAATTGAAAATACGCATTTTATTTCATCAGTATTTCTCAATATTTCACTTATAAGTATATGATAAAACAATTTCTTTTTGGCTTGATTTTTAGTTTCTCTAGTTTTTTCATGGGTCAGCCTATAACCTCTATATGTAAACAGATAAAAGAATACCTCTATTTATTTATTTTTTTTCATTTTTGTATTTATTTATTTATCTAATTGTTGTTGTTGTTGTTGTTGTTTTCTAGTGGGGGAGTAAGCAGTTGACAGTATGCAAATGACAGTAAGCAGTTGACAGTAAGCAGTAAGCAGTCAACAATTGGCTGTCGTTTATGGAATTTCATGTTATAGTCCATGCATTTATTAATTTATCAGTGAATTCCTTTAAATGTTGTTCTAAGAATATATATGTACCTGTAAACTATTAAAGTAAATTAGGAGGCAGAAAAATACCAAGGGTCCAACCGGGTTTTGAACCACAGACCTCTTGGTCCGTAGACGGACACCTCAACCACGTCGTTAAAGGGTTAATCTAACAGCAAGGCTGATGGAAGTGGCCTATATACCTACAAGCACTACACTCCTCCCCTCTTTACTTTTCAGAGCTAGCCAGCTATCCTGAATGTCACTCCCTGCTTACCGCATGAGTCCGTCAAACACTTCTGACACCATTTAAGTAAATTAGGAGGCAGAAAAATACCAAGGGTCCAACCGGGTTTTGAACAACAGACCTCTTGGTCCGTAGGCGGACACCTCAGCCACATCGCTAAAGGGTTTACCCAACAGCAAGGCTGTTGGAAGTGGCCTATATACCACTGCACTATATTGTGCATGACCTCCAGAACGGCAACTATTTCGGCAACTGAATAATTTTTTGACCAATACAGTTGTAATAGGTCGTCCATTTTTATTTTAATGCTATAAGCAGTGAATAATAAGTAGTAAGCCGTAAGCAGTTGATAGTAAGCAGTTGACAGTAAGCAGTAGGCAGTCAACATTTGGCAATTCCATAGTATATTGATTCATTAATGTTCCCAAAGAAATATTGAGATAAATATAAAAAGTTATGAAAGTATAACAATTCTGTCATAAACCTAAATCAATACACCGCATAGTTACGAATATCGATCAACAGATCAATTGGGTATTATTTAATACTTACATGTAGTAAAGCCTATCTAGTCAGATTATGAACAGGTATAATAAAAAAATATTTTAAGATATAGTTCCCCCTTAGCATTAA